CCATTGTTGACTCATATTCAACCAGTGATGATGATGATGATGATGATATTATTATTATTATTATTATTATTATTATTATTATTATTATAACATTTCTATGCCGCCCCTTGCCGAAGCCTCGGGGCGGCTTACAACACAATAAAATACATTGAAATACAATAGAACATAATAAATTACCATTAAATACAAAATACAAAAAATACACTGAGTTACGAACATAATTAAAATTAAAATTATCAGTATAAAATAAGTAAATAAAGAATATAGGAGGAGAAAAGAGAAGGAAGAAGAAAGTTGCCCTGGCCAGATCATATATTTTAACAATTAAAATGATGTTTAAATAAAAAGGTCTTTACCTGGCGCCGAAAAACCAGTAACGACGGTGCCAGGCAGACCTATTTGGGGAGTGAATTCCATAGGTTGGGCGCCCCCGCAGAGAAAGCCCTCCTCCGAGTACTTACTCTCCTTATTTCTTTCATGGAGGGTTCCCGGAGAAGGGACTCTCCCACAGATCTCAAAGGGCGGTCGGGCATATACGGACGTAAGCGCTCGTTCAGGTAGCCAGGACCCAAGCCGTTTAGGGCTTTATAGGTCATAATCAACACCTTGAATTGGGCCCGGGCTTCAATGGGAAGCCAGTGAAGCTGACGGAGGACTGGAGTCATGTGAGCATAACGCCCCGTCCCCATCAGCAACCTGGCAGCTCTATTTTGCACCAATTGAAGTGTTCGGACCGTCTTCAGGGGAAGCCCCACGTAAAACGTGTTACAGAAGTCTAGGTGGGAAGTCACCAGCGCGTGTGTCACCATCGCCAGGCAGTCGTACTCCAGGTAGGGGCGCAGCTGATTAATCAGCCGAAGCTGAAGGAAGGCGCTTCTCGCCACTGCTGTCACCTGAGCTTCCAATGAAAGTTCCGGGTCGAGGAGTACTCCTAAGCTGCGGACCTTGTCCCTAAGAGGGAGTGTTGACTATTCCAAGATCTTTCTCTCTTGTAGTAGTGTCTACCATCTTGCAATTGTGCATTTGGTTCCTTTTCCCTAGGCAACTTTGGCATTTGTCCTTACTGAATTTCATCTTGTTGCTTTCAGTCTATCAAAATCACTTTGAATTTTGTTTCCGTCTTCCAGGGTGTTGTTGTTGTTAGTCGCAAAGTCGTGTCCGACCCATCGCAACTCCATGGACAACATTCCTCCAGGCCTTCCTGTCCTCCGCTATCCCCCAGAGTCCACTTAAGCTCATGCTGACTGCTTCAGTGACTCCATCTAGCCACCTCATTCTCTGCCGTTCTCTTCTTCTTTGGCTGTCAATTGTTCCCAGCATTAGGCTCTCCAGTGAGTTCTTCCTTCTCATTAGGTGGCCAAAGTAATTGAGTTTCATCTTCAGGATCTGGCCTTCTAAGGAGCAGTCAGGGTTTACCTCCTCTAAGACTGACTGGTTTGAGCGCCTTGCAGTCCAAGGGACTCGCAGGAGTCTTCTCCAGCACCACAGTTCCAAGGCCTCAATTCTTCAGCGCTCAGCCTTCCTTATGGTCCAGCTTTCACAGCCGTACATTGCAACTGGGAAAACCATAGCCTTGACTATACACACTTTTGTCAGCAGAGTGATGTCTCTGCTTTTTAGTATGCTGTCTAGATTTGCTTTCCATAGCTTTCCTTCCAAGGAGCAAGCGTCTTTTAATTTCTTGGCTGCAGTCCCCATCTGCACTGATCTAGGAGCCCAGGAAGATAAAATCTGTCACTACCTCCATTTCTTCCCCATCTATTTGCCAGGAAGTGATAGGACCGGATGCCATGATCTTAGTTTTCTTAATGTTGAGTTTCAAGCCAATGTTTGCTTCCTTCACCCGCATCAAGAGGCTCTTCAGTTCCTCTTCACTTTCTGCCATTAAGGTGGTATCATCTGCATATCTGAGGTTGTTATTTCTCCCGGCAATCTTAATTCCAACTTGTGATTCATCCAGGGTATCAGTTATCTGCAAATCTGATCAACTTTCCCTGTACCTCTTCATCCAACTCATTAATAAAAAATATTGAAAAGGACAGTCCTGCGGTACCCCACTTGTTACCTCTCCCCCAGTCTGAGGGGGTGCCATTAAGAACTCTCTGATTGTGCAGCCAGCTATCCACCTGATAGTTATTTCAACTAGCCCACTTTTAGCTAGTTTGCTGATCAGAATGTCATGGGGCAAGGCTACCAGAAACTCTTTCCTGTATCCTGCAACTGCTCCTGATGGTGAAGGCTGGCAGTTGCGCATTCAGACTCCATCTTGGCTCGTTTCGCTTTGCAAGACTGGGCTGAGCACAAGAAGATGCCCATGCAGTGCTAGAGGGATGCATTACGGAAGTGTTTGTCCCAGCCCTAAAATGTCTCCAGTTTCAGTCCATACATCTTCTGATTCATGGCGAATTGAGTTCAGTAAAGCAAATCTGTTCTTTATATGGAACTACATTCCTAAAGAATTTTGTTTAAGTTGCATTTTGGCAGTACATTTATGTTGAAAATCTTTTTCAGCTTTACTCCAAGTTTTGCTATTAATAGTTCATGATCACCACTGTATTCTGCTCCTGGTCTTGTTTTGGCAGTCAGTATACAGCTTCTTCGGCTCACAATTACATAGTCAAACTGATTTCATCAGGCACAGTCATCTAATTTGTAGCCTGAAGTATGCATTTGTGAAAGACACATGGTTGGCTTCACAGAGTTCTATGAGCCATTCTCCTGCTTTTTGACTGGAAAACAGACTGAACAAAGTGCCCCAGGAGTGCCCCTCCTCTTTGCAAGCTGGGACAGAAGACACAGACAGCCTATGTCTTTTGCAGGGTAGGAGAAGCACAGAGGCACCTCTTAACTCTGCACTCCTCCCATGATTGGATGCCTGCAATCCTCCACGTTCACATGGTTATGGTTATCTTAGATATTGCACTTATTATAATAGCATTTTCAGAACAAAATTTAGAACCGGAAGTTGCACCTAGCAGGAAAAGAAAACCATATTGAGAAATGGACTGACCAAAGAGATTATTTTTTTCTAGCACTAAGCTAAGGCAGGTTGCTTACCTGTAACTGTCATTCTTCAAGTGGTCACCTGTGCATTCACACATGTGGGCTTTGCTGCATAGTATATAGTCTAGATCAGAGAGAAACCTCTATAGCTCAGTTTCATAAAGTGGGCAGGAGCCCCTCTGCCCACTTCCTCAGTTGTCTTGGAGACTACACATTTCCATAAGCAGGTGTGAGGTTGTGCTCCAGCCCATGGCCCATATACTCTGGTGTGGGGAGGGGGACAGGGTTGCAGGTGTATGACACCAGCCAGTGGGGCAGAGGACGGCTTGTGGGATGCACTTGACCAAAGAACTAGAGTTACAGGTAAGCAACCTGCCCCTTTTAGTTGTGGTTTCTGTGTGCATTGCACATGTGGGCAACTGGCAAGTTCATCCTGTGTGGATGGTGGAACTGGCATCGCTGGAGAAAGGCTGAGAGGACTGCCTAGGCATTGGGTGCGTGCACGTGTTGGCATGGAGTGTCGGGGCCGGGCAGGGGAGCGACGTCAAAGACGGGGGTCTGCCTGTGTGTCGGGTGAGATAGTCTGCTAAGTACACAGTAGCAGGTGGCGCAGCGATGGTGGTGCAAGCATGCGTTCTGGAGCAGCTGGGTCCTGGAAGGAGGTCATTGGCGCAGGTGGGAAAACACAGGCAGGCCAGGGACATTGTCCAAGAGCTTGGAAAACTCCTTGGGGTGGGTGGAAGCACAGACTTTGGCACAGTGTGGGACCATTCCTGGGAGGGAGCCCTGTTGCCCCCAGCATGCCACATCTCTAGCTGCTGGTGATGTGAGTGGGCTGGGCAGTGAGGTGCCATATGCGGATGTCACAGGAGTAGCGGACGACAGTGGTGGCAAGGTGTGCAGGAGGGGAGACTCTGACCTGGGTAGGTGAGTGCGGTCATGGTAAATTCATCCCCGTAGTGGCAGGAGGGCTAGCCAGCAGGGCCTTGGTGTCCTGGCTGGTGTTGTGTGAAGAGCCAGTGGCAGGCAAGGATGGAGAGCCGGTTGGGTGGCGCTTTCTTCTTCTTGGAGGCAGAGGTTGGTTTTGACTTCCAGGTGTTTTGCAGGCTGTGTCTTCTTCTGCCAGTGGGTCAGCAAGTCTAGGAGTTGGCCAAGTGGAGGACCCTTTGCCATGTGGCAAATTTCAAACTGTATGTCCACTACCAGTACGTCTGTTTGATCACCTGGCAGTGCAGGCAGGTCTCCACATGCCCCTTGTCCAGGCGAAGAAAGCAGAGGGATTGACCATCAGTGCCTTGGAGATA